CTATGGCATGCTGAGCTCACGTGTTGCATCAGCTTCCGTGATCAGTCACCATCAGTCGACAGCATCTAAGTCCTGCTCGAGCTTCTTCAATTCCTTAAGCCGCTCCTGCAAGATGGCATCTGCTTCGTCTTCTGATTCAGATTCCTCTATCATAGGCTCCTTAGGACAAACAAACGTGACCGGAGCTTGGATCGGGCTTCAAGCCCTCCGAATGAAAGAGAGGCATTGTTCTAAGACACTGATTTCTAAGCAACAATCTGCCATCAACAACAAAACATAACAAAGCTATTTACAAAACTACAAACATGTCAATCTCTTATGGCTTCTACCGAGCAGCTGGTGAATCCCGTACTGGTTCCACTAAGGTAGGCGGAGGCTGAAGAATCTGTGTGAAAATCGAGCAGACGCGCTGCATGATTCCAGGCGGTTTTTCTTCATGCTGTGCAGTTTCTGCCTCGGCAGCTTTGGCTGGAGTGGCTAAGCAGACAGGGTCACGCCTGGCCGATTCTCGCTTTTCAGGGCGTTCCATCGCTGCTAAGCTCCGAAGCTCTTCCACCAAGGTCGACTTGAGCTTGCTGGCATGTTTCTGGATGAGCTCCTTCAGTGCTTTCAGGCGAAAGGTGAAAATCATCCGGTCCAGCTGAGCCCACGTCATCCTCTCTAAGATCTTCTGCCGGATCAAGGCATCATCTTCGGGGTTCTTGCACTCCGCCTGTTCGGTGCGTGCCTGCAGCATCTCCGACAGGTTCCCCGCACGGGAATTCACGTAGGCCACGGAGCACGCGATCCGCACGGGGGTCTCGGTCCGAACAGCTTCAGCGATCTCATAGACACACCACAGCCTACTATAAATTTCTGCTTTGGGTGGCGAGGTATGTACTACGACCATGCCAAGGCAAGAAGAGACATGTCGAACCACCACACCAAAGGGATCTAGGGCCAGCTGTTCAGCCACGCTGGGACCAACGTCGCCCTCTTCATCTCCAGCTTGGTACTGCGAAAAGGCACAAAACCACATCACCGTCTCCGAGGAAATGTTGTGCTGAACTCGATGTTCCTCAAGAGCCTCCCTGCATTCCTCTATATCTTCGGCCCAGCAATGGGAAACCATCAGCTCTGCAGCCAAAGCTTCCACAGGGTTCATTCTCAATGCAATGCTGCAACCCGTATGGCGAGTCCAATTGATCAGCAAGCCTCCATATGGAGGAAGTCCTCCATTGAGGGCATAGAGGTTTACATATCCCCTGGCTTTCTTGGCTTGATCCCACAAAATGGTCACAGCACATGCATCCAGAAACTCTGCAAACTGCGCACATCGCATGCCCCACTTGACAGGTGGGACTTGACGATTGCTCCAGCGGGCTGGAGGTAAACAGCTGGGAACGTCATCCATGGCAGGTAAGGTCATCTCGGGATTGGCATCATCCGCGCTGAAAGGATCCATAGAGCCGGTCGGCGCGGTTGGCTCGATGAGTGGTCCCAGGCATTTGCTGTCATGCTGTCCAGTTTTGGCGCAGCCTCGACAGCAAGACTTAAATCCTCTTGGGCAGCGGCACCCACAGCCCTTCCAGCACAGCCGCTCACTCATGGCGTGAGTCCGGCAGAGTCGCCATGCGCCCCAAGTTAGAACCCCAACCAGTGGAATTCTTGTAGAGTCATGTAACCCGATGTCGGATGTAGCTGAACATCAAGCAACCACAAGTCAAGAATGCATGGTAATACTGACGTGTCGGGACTCGTTTTCTTGGGCCCGTCTCGTTGTGCTTTGCGGCCCCGGCATGTGCGATATTCAGATTAGTCCAAGATCTTTCACTGAAACCACTCCAACCAACCAGCCCGCCTCACCCGCGCTACAATGCAAAGCATGGTGGTACGTAATGGATTGTAAAGGACTACTTATGCATGAGTCACTTAGCCTCAAAAAAGCCGCTTGTCAGCAATTCATCCCTCCCACGACAGCACTCTGAGACCGCTACATTCTTCGGCAAAAGGAAGAACCGCCAAAGCTTCCACCAAGTGGTCTTGCGCATCCTGGTATTGCCTCAACAAATGCGACGAAGGAAAAACATTGTTTGCGCCGCACCGGGCCGCGCTGCTTTTGGCATGCTCCTTTTCGCAGCTCTTGGGCCCCCGGGCAATCGTAGCAGCTTCCTCTGTGCCTCCGCGGGTTTTCTCGTCTGAACACACGACCGGACCGGTGGTGAAAACGAAATCCGCTGCAGAACCACCCCGCGGCAGAACCCCGCCAGTGGTGCAGAACCGGTGCCGGCGAGGCACACACAGCACGTGTAGAAGCGTCACGCCAGGGGCACCTGACCGACGCGGCGCTCTCAGCCGGGACGACGGAGCCCGGAGCAAACCCGCTGGGAGGCGCAGTCGGACAAGGCGGCCATGCCCCGGAAGCGCGTGGGCGGCAGCTCTGGGCAGGGAAACTCACGTATCCTGAGATTGCGCAAGGCTCGAGGGTGCAGCAATTCAGGTGGGTCGAGACCAGGGTAAGTATGGCCAAACAAGGGGCCTTCAATGGCTTTCATCGAGACCTGCGCAACTTCAGCCGGGCATCCAATGATGAGCTGGGTCTGAGAGGTTTAACCTGCTCATGGTGTCAACCTATGAGCGTGCTTTTTGAACGTGGCGCATCTCAGCTCAGCACACTCTGGAGGAGAAGTCTGGGGTAAGTGCCTGAACGGGTGCACTTCAGGCTGATTCAGGCTTCCAAATGTTCATGATACGCTGTGATACGCTGTGCCATGTTTGCATGATTTGACATGGCAATGCAGGAACTACCGGTTTCTCAGGGGGGACATGGTGTCGATGTGCAGCCAGGTGTCCCTGCAAAATGGACGGAGTTGGATCAATCCCCATTCGTTACAAACAGCAAAGCACAAGCGATATGGGGGCCAGAGATATGACGAAGATTGACCAACTGGAAGAAAAATCAATGGCCAAACACCTCATGCAACTCATACACCCGCAAATGCCTCTCTCTCTCTGTATATATATATACACATGCATCAAATCCGAGATACCCAGTTATCAATGGGTGTGGCATGGCGCAGAAGAGCAAGCTCAAAGGACCATCCCCCAAGACCTGTTTCACTTCAAGACCGCTGGATCAAAAACCAAAACGGACCAAAACGCCGCGTCACCCGCACAAAAAACATCCAACAAACGCACCTTCCATGCGGTCTGCCGCAGGAGGTCCCAGTGGGAGCCCAGGTCTGAACACGCGCAGGCCACAGGCCTCGCTTTATGGCACGAAACACGACACCAAAAGTGTCTGGCGTGAAACCGAGACGCGGACACCATGGGGCCTGGCACGAGTGTTCATGAGGTATACAGTCGGTATGAGGATCACAGTTGGGAAAAAATATGTTGGATTATATATATATATATATTAATATGCTACAGTGTGGTATAACACTGTAATTACAAATGGCTCCAGTTGGGAGAAGAGTCAGAATAATGGACGTGATATAGGTATATATCGGTGTAAAATGGTTCCATAATTCTCCCAACTGCTCCATGGTGAACATGGCAACACAAAAATGGCACAGCTACCGACGCAAGAGTTAGAACTGCTCTTCTCATCTTCAGCAGCCCATGCTTTGGGCAGTGCTGTCCTCGTCTCCTCAGTGAGATCTGCAGCTTCTCCTGTACCCTCACCTTGGGCTGTCTCTTGAATTTCAGGTAGTATACGGCTACATCGTCTTTCTCGCCCGTGCGCTTGGCTTGTACCACCTTTTCCCGCTGCAGTGACCTGTATTTGGCGAAACGTGACCTGTTTGCTGGGCCTTCTCGGAGGTTTCTGTCCTCTCATTGGGCCGAGCAGCAACTGTATGAACTTTCAATGATTTTTCTGGGTGCCAGCCGCAACCGCAGCGCTGGCACTTGACATGGACTTCGAAGCTTCGCGGCTTCCACCTCAGCCTTTCCAGCCATCTCCTTCGCCTTTCACTTGCGAGAAGGGAGATCAGACTCGTCTGATCTGGCAACTCCTTCTTTCTTCACCCCTTGCGACGAGACGCGCAACATCATCCATCACCTGATCCAAATTGGTGGCCACGCACAGAACACGCGACGTTTGAAGCTGCACCCTGTTCTTATTGATCTTATTGAGTTGGGACAAGCGAAGAAGGGGCCGCAAATGCTTGAGCCATCTCTGTCGGACGCTGTCTCTACCTACCTCTCTGCATCTCTCTGCCAATCTGTCTCTCTCGCAAGATTGCCCCCCCCAACCCCAGCTCCAGGCCTTCCACTGTTCCGAGCGAATAGCCATGAAGTGGGATGTCATGAGAGGAGATGGAACGGAGATCGGCCATGGGATTTTTGTGGACTCACTGAGAGTGGATGGGTCCCACCTCAACAAGGGAGCTTTCCTGGAAGATATTGATGTCCTATATACTGAGAAAAAAATCTGGCTGACGAGACAAATGTCCTGCGTTTCCTCCTGCAAAATCTGAGCAAACCACCTGCATTACGGAACCAACCTTTTGGGGAAACTGACGAGAAGCTGGACCAATAGGAGAACCCCTGCCAGTATAGGGCACATATTGCCACCTGTTACCACTGTGGCCGTCCAAATCTTACCACCATACCTGTTCAGCATATCTTCGGCCTATTGGCGGGTTCTTCGCTATACAAGTCCATTCTTCTCATGCTGGCATGCACTCTTTTTGCGGAGTGAGAAGCTTGACAGCTTCGGTCTACCCATTTTGAGCTAGCAGCTGCATCATGTTTAACATGCGCAAAGGTGACGGCCGGCATCACAGTGTCTGGTGCTTTGTCTCCTTGTCAAACTACTGTGCATCACTTTGTGCATTTCCACGCTGGCGACGGTGCGATCGGCACAAAGCACCGATGGCACATCGGCGAGCAAACTGGTGGCCACTACCAGTTAACCCCTCATTTAATAGCTTCCTGTTACTATAGTAGTAAGAATGCTCCTAGTAGTACGGCCAGCCCCTTCTCGTAGCGTCCGACCGCTCCGTACACTGCGCCTTCCCAAAGGTGAAAGGTCGATGCAAAAGGAGATGCGGTTGGCTGGAACCTGCGCATCGGCCCAGCGGCGCTGGAGGCGTTTCGGTCGGCTGAGGGCGAAAACGCGAAGAAGACCAGGCCTTCAGGACTCGCAGTCCTCAATCGACCGAGTGACCAATTGGTGGTGCAAGCAAAACGCACACACACACACACCAAAAATGGATTGTTTTTACTTACTTGATCTTACTTGCTCAAACTCTTGCCCGTAAGGAAGTTCAACTTTTGAATCTGTGCCATGTGCATGCGCAGTGCTCTGCCGAGCGGCCTTAAGTTTCAATTGGGAAGAAGAGACTGGCAAGAAGAGATTGCGAACAAGAGACTGGGAAGAAGAGACTGGGAAGAAGAGAATAGGAAGAGGAGAATCGGAAGAAGAGAATGGAAAAAAGAGAGTGGGAAGAAGAGAATGGGAGGACGAGAAAGGGAAGAGGAGAATGGGAAGAAAAGAATTGGAAGAAGAGCAGCTTGAGAAAACAAGCAACTGCAAAAAAAACAAAAAACTTTGAAAAACACATATATATATATATATATATATTTGGAGAAAATCTGGTCAGAAGGTGGCATGACAGGAAGATTTGCTGCATATGTTATTTGTGTGTTGTTGTTTTTGGTTTTCAGAATGCAAATGCAAATGGTCCATGTTTCGTGAAGGCAACAAAAAGTATGGTTTGCCTAAGTAGTCGCCAGCGCCTTTGCAAGCACAAAACCATGCTATTGGCTGTGTTTTGTACAAGTAGGGTGGGGAAAGTGAAATTCACTCCCCCCACGGCATCCCTTCTGTTCTTTTTCAGCAAGGAAGATTACTTACGGCCCTTCCTGAGGGTGAACAGGTCTTCCTCGCACCGTGTTTCCCTCGCAGTCTTAAGAGCACCCAAACAAAAAATGTGAACAAAGGCGTGCGTCACCAGGATTTTTTACCGTTCCTGAACCAAAAGGGGTTGCTCCCTGGTTTTGAGGCCACGGCCCAGCTTGCTGGACACGGTGCCCAAGCGTTCCTCAAACCACTTGGCGTTCTCCTTTCGCTCTTGTAGGAGCCCCGTCCACCCTGGAGCGCCCAAGGACCTAAGCACGAGTTTCATCGAGTGGGCCACGTCAGAAAGGGCACCAAAGCACGAAGAAAGCGATAGATGATATAGGCTATGGCCTACCCAAAAATAGAGGCCATCTACGGCCACCGGAAAAATGGAATTAGATTTTTCTGATCATATAATCTGTATATGATGATTATATGATTGTAAATCATTATATTTCATTATTTATGCTCAAACCATCTGGGCCACATTGGCTGATGGCCATGCTCAAATTGTGTCGAAAGCTTCAGTCTCCAACAGCAAGGTGATGAACAGGTCCAACCTCAGTCAGAGGTCACTTCAACGTGCTGGCGGCGTTTTCATGCCGTATCGCCTTCCTCTCTTCTGAAAGCAAACTGAGCCTTGGGACACAGGACTCATCGATGCCCTGCCCGGATAAAGCCCAGAGACCTCACCGAGCAACAGCGAGCGTGTGCCGAACACGGCGTCGAAACCGGGCGTCGTCTGACCCGCGCCTTGTCCACCAGGGCTGCAGAAGGAGCTGCCACAATGGCACCACCCACGGGGACCATGAAATTCTTGTCCGTGCTCTGCACCTAAACGTCCACGGGCGCGTGGAATGGCCCGGTGACCGGCGGGGATGCGACCCCCACCAATTGGGCTTCCCCGCAAAGGCGTCGACGCGACCACGGCGGCAGCCAGTCTGTCCACAGTAGCCACTCTGAGATCTCTGTCAATCGACCTGTCGCTACTCTTCGATGCTGCCTCAACCAAATGGGCGCACTTGGAACACTGCAGGCCATACCTCGAGATCAGCCCAATGAGATCCAATGAGCTAAAAAAACGAGGAGATAAGAAAACAAGAACCCCGCGAGTTTGGTGTTTTTTTCCTTCGGGATGCTGCCTTTCATTCTCTATCTTTGATGGCAACTCACTTGATCAGATCTGTCATGCGTGATGTCTTGGGGCCCCCTGACGCATTGTTGATCACATGCGGCCTCGCTCAAGGCTCGACTCGCGACTTCAGTCAGTGGGGGCGGACGCTCCGGTGAACTGAGGACATCACACCTGCAATTCCTGTGCCATCACTGCGACCTCATCGATGAAATCTGGCACCCTCGGCCTTGGAATACAACGCCGGAGACCTCCGGACACGGACGTCGATCTGGCACCATGTCGACAAGCGCAGGCACGCGAAGGTGGAGGTGGTGGTGCAGATGCAAAGGACCTCCGGCCAACGACATCCCCAGCCCCAGCTGTGGGGCATTGTGAAAGTGTTGCCTATTTTTGGGGGTGGCTCCCACTTTCAATGAATAATGAAAAGAACTCAAACCAAAAATCAGCAAGCCCAAAAGAGACTCTATATATATATATATACATATGTGTATCCATATATATATATATATCCTGAGGGTTCCCAAGCAAATTCTCAACGCAAAATCAATGCTGTGACATGCAACTGGGGAGCTTCTTGACACTACAAGGGCAGCAAGCGAACCCCCAAAAAAGTACAGTGTACGTGCAAGAAAGGAAAACAATGGAAAACATGAATTAAGACAAAAAGAAAAATGACGTTTTCGACACCAACTGTACCTTTGTCCAGTCAGTACGCCACTCCGGTACCGCCTCATCAGCTCCAACCTGTTCAATGGCACTGCGCATGCCTTCGAGGTCGGTCCCCAAAGCATCAGTGCCTGGAGTGCCGCTTGGCACACGGATGGGACTTCGATTCGACCGCATGGATCGGCAAACGTTCTAACATTTTAAGAGGGAGAGAAGAAAGAGAGAGAGAGAGAGAGATACACATGGTACCCCCACCCCCCGTGCCTACCTATGCTTTCATAGTACAGTGTTTTTGTGCTGCTTTTGTATTTGCAGGCCATTGTTGTGTTTTGTGATTGTTTGACTGGAACCAAGAACCAAGATTGCACAGAAAGTCTTGGGGAAATTTTGGTTCTTGGTTCCAGGAAGGTCTTAAGTGTTTTAAGTGTATAAAAAACCTTAGGGATTGTTCTCATCAGAACCAAGATGTTCTCCAAGACTTTCTGTGCAATCTTCAATCTTAGTTATTGGTTCCATGTACTTCCTGATTTCCCAATACTACTTCACTCACCTCCCATCGTCTCTACAGAGGTCGGCAAGAGAAGGCGGTGAGGAGGCATTGTAGAGGCTAAGGGGGCTAGTGAACACAGAAGGTTTAGGGGGTATGGTATCAAGCGAAAACATTTACTGTAACAATACGGTACAGCTGGTGCATCAATGGATTTGAAAGAGTTTGGCAAGCGAGCACTACAAACAGCATAGAACACGTTATGCTGAAGAAAGGAATGTTGCAAACAAGGGAAAGGTAGAAGAACGATTGGGATTGAGAAATGCCTATTGGAGCCGTTCAGGATTACACAAGACAGGTCAGACGCGTTTTATGTCAGGCAAGATAAATGTTTGGAAAGAGATGTATATTTGATGACTTACTTGTGTAATATACCAGATTGGTGTATCATTCAATATCATTCATTGGGGTCAGCAGCTGTCAACAAAATCAATGATGAACATTCTAACGCAGTGGAAGGGAAGGGGCAAACAAGACCCAAGAAGGTTAGATTTCAGAAACAAAATGATATTGTTTCTGCATTGGGTGGCCACGCTGAAACTCAAGATGTTAATGAATGGAACCTAGTCGTTGCACACACATATAAATTATTTGAGGGTCAGGGATTGTATAATATAAACCCTGACTCCGGCACCAATATCTCACAAGGCATTTTATAGCCCTAATCAAGAGAATCTACAGAGAAGTAATACTGTTTTACGAAGTTGTTTACAATAAACCATCATAAATTTCACTAATCAAATAAAAGGTGGTCATGACAAGGTAGAAAAAAAAATGAATAAGTCACCAAGTGATTATGATGGGATAAAGGAACTATAGAACAACAACTTCCCAATAACATAGTCATATAAGACATAGTCATAATAAGCGTAATATAATATATATATACGTCTAAAATGAATGTTCATTGGAGTTCACATTCAAAAGAATAATAGAAACAGAAGTGGGCAATTTAGTAGCCGAAGCAAAACACACAACGGTAAACACTTTAAACGTTCGATTACCTGAAGCGGTTTGCGAATTGTGTACAATCCAAATGCGGGAAACAATAACATCAGATTTTACATTTATAGGTGAAGACAACACAGGTTTAGATTTAAACACTGCAAATACTGACACAAATGGAGACATAACACATTTTGGATGCATGTGTGGGGGCCGTAACAACCACAAGTGATAGGAATGATGGGGCAAAGTAGACAAGAGGTACGCAAAACACACATTAACTTGTCTGCTGGTGAAGCTTATGCCTTAACATTTGCCATGAGAGGTAGGTACTGTGGCGGGGGTAGCATATATGTTTCTATTGTTTTCGGATGCTTTTGTCTGACTGATGTTCTTTCGGTCCCAAAGGTCATCAACTGAATGTTCTACATTCTACATAGTTTCTCTTGCACACTTGGAGTGCGAGCATGTTCTGTGGCATGCGAGGCTAGTAACAAGAAGCTACTAGGGGCTCTTGGCATCGCTACTAGGAACAAGGACGCTACTAGGGGCTCCTGGCCTTACTACAGTAACAAGAAGCTACTAGTAGCTAGAAGCTTTCACAGCTTCTTTCAGGTATTTCTTAATAACTCTTTCCCTCGATGCGATGGACCAACTCCATCCACGCGGTCTCCGCCTTCGATAGGCTTCAGCTCAACGACAATGGGCTTTAGACCAGCTGCTCCAATCGCCTGACCATAGGCAGCTGCTGCCGACAACAAGGCAATGAAGTCGACAATAGGATCACTCATTATGTTTTTGGCGCTCCCGGGCAGCTTATGGTCATAGACTGCCGTATGTGTAGCATATGTAGAAATACAAAGATACATTTATGAAGGTTTATTTACATGTGTGCGATATGTATTGCAAGTTGCAGCCGCTCATTTACATAACATGATACAGTATGATGCAGTATGTTTAATTTGTTCATGTCAACATCCAGGAGCGGAAAAATAATCCGCCGACCCCTGCTTAGCCCTTGCCTAAGCGGGGCGGCGCCAGGGACACCGGAGGGTGGAACGGGTGGCCAGTGCAAACGCAAGCCCCAGCATGCCACGTTAAGCAGCCACCCCCGCCTTCAAAGCCCTACTGCGTCGGCATCACTCCTGCACTGGCCAAACAAAGGCCGCAGCTTGGCTCAGAAAGCTTTTTCTATGCCGCAGCTTGGCCCAGAAAGCTTTTTCTTGGGCTTCCGAAGGCAACGTTAGAGACCCACGGGCCCCGCCCCCAAACCCCTCTCGGCAGCTGGCAGGCCTGCCTCCGTTCCTGCAGGCCGCAGCTTGGCTCAGAAAGCTTTTTCTATGGGCTTCCGAAGGCAACGTTAGAGACCCACGGGCCCCGCCCCCAGACCCCTCTCGGCAGCTGGCAGGCGTGCCTCTTCTCTTGGCCTGTCCCAGGCAACGAAAGCCCCAGCATGCCACGTTAAGCAGCCACCCCCGCCTTCAAAGCCC